CCTGTGGGAGTTCACTGACCACCAGGGGGCAGCTCCTGTATTGAGTGTCTACCCTCTGATGGTCAGTGCACATCATAGTGACCAGTCATTCCACTGTTCAGTCAATTTGCATAATAGCCTTTTATTATATAGGATATATGTTCATTTTAAAAGTTAGGAAATACAGCCAGGACCGGTTTGGCTCAGTGGATAGAGCGTCGGCCTGTGGACTGAAAAGTCCCAGGTTCGATTCCGGTCAAGGGCATGTACCTTGGTTGCAGGCACATCCTCAGTGGGGGGTGTGCAAGAGGCAGCTGGTCAATGTTTCTCTTTCATCGACGTTTCTAACTCTCTGTCCCTCTCAATTTCTCTCTGTGTAAAATCAATAAAATATATTTTAAAAAAAAATAAAAGTTAGGAAATACACATAAGTATAAAGAAAAACCATTTAATGTTATTACCTAAAGATAAATTCATTGACGTATTATAATAGGTCCTTTGTACACTTTTGTTCAGTTGTAATATTCAATAGGTATGTATTGTGTGTGAGCTGTGCCCTAGGAATCAGGTGTAGGGAATATAGCATTTAAAAACAAATCCCTCCTTTCATGGAGCTTACATCTGAATATCTTTTATAAAAACTGGAATCATTCCACACTTAAAATCTTAAAACTTTTATTTATGATTTTAAAATATACATTGCATGTACTTGCATGCTAAATATAGATCTCTGCAGTAATTTTAAATTAGTAATAGTCTAGCATTTGAATGCTCCATAATTATTTTACCCAATTCTATAATTATAAATAGTTTTCATTGTGTGTTTTTTTGTTTGTTTGTTTTGTTTTTTGCTATCACTATATAAACAACTTGGAGGAATTTTGTACCTTGGCACATTTATTCAATTACATCCACAAGATGAACCTCATTCTCCAATGTTTTGAGTCCCAGATTCTAGACCTTTTTCCCAGTTAACATGTAGGCCTGCTTTATCATTATTTATATATTTACTTGTAGTATAGGCCAGTATTTAAAATCATTCCCCTACTGATTGTTATTATAAACAGTGAAGCAATTACATTCTTGTGCATATACTCAGGCACAGTTATATGATTAGTCATTCCTTTATTTAATTAGATTTTAATATTGAAATACATGTCTGGTATGAAAATTATAAGTAGAGAACTATATTAAATGAAAAGCATAGTCTCCATTCTATCCTTTCTCCCTACCCCCAGGTTGACTCCTTGGAGGTAAACCACAAACATGTATTTCTGTTATGAATTTCCTCCCTACATGCTGTATGCACTACATGATGTGTTTGATCATGCAGCATCTGTTCTCTCCCTTCTTTGCAACCATATCCTGATTTTTAGAAGCACCCACTCTTTCTCCACTACAGCTGCTCCTGCTGCTCTGGCTTCCTTGTCCCTCAAAACGAATTAAAAATATTCCAGCTTCAGGGCCTTTGCTCTTGCCACTGCCACAGCCTAGAAAGTTTACCCCCAGATTCCCACAAGTCCCCCCTTCATTCTTTAGGTCTTTGTCCAACTTCTGTCTTGTCAGTGAAGTATTCCCTCATTGCTCCATTTAAAATGGCAGTCCCAGCCCTGTCCCTCCATCAGCCTTCCTGGCTTTCTCCTCCAGGGCACTCTCCATCACCTGATGTTCTATAAACCTGTTAGAGTGCCCTGGCTACATGTAAGCTCCAGAAGGGCCAGAGTTTTTGTCTGTTTTGTCCACTATTACGTGCTTAGTGCTAAAACAGTTACTAACATCTGATAAATAGGTACTCAATATTTGATAAGTGAATAAATGGCAGTGAAGGGGACACATAAATTTAGAGCTGGTTAGACATTTACCTTTACCTAGTTTGAATCTCAGCTTATTAAGGTCACAATAGCTCTGTGATCTTGGACAAATGTCATAGTTTGTGTAAGCTTTAGTTTATCCATGAAAGAGAGGAATTAAAATTACTTCATAGGGCGGTATGATGATTCAGAAAAGTCTTGTTATGATGTTTTTATACAGTACTTGGCACATAACAAGCATCAACAAATCTTCCCTTTCTTCTTCTCCTTCTTCTTCCTCTTTGTCTAGCCCCCTTCCCTGCTCCTCTTACTCTTCTTTTTCTTGTTGTTGTTACTATTATGAAATAAAAAGCATACCCTTGTTATTTTTCATTCCTCAAGTTCCAATTGTTGCTTAGCACACAACACACCAGGAAGCTTGAAGCTAACTCTCTTACCGTTCAGTGTGTTTTCCCATCCAATGTGGGCAATTTGCCAGGTCCAGAAGCGCTCTGCTGCTTTGTTGCTCCAGCCTGCTCTGGCGCTACTGGGGCAGTTGTTAGGACACAGGGACTCTGTAGTCTCCTTTCACACTGCATGGCCCAGCTTAGGGGTGGGTCTAAAGTCACAGTCACTCAAGATCACACGCACCTGAAAGCTGGGATTGCACCAATGTTTCCCTGAGTATTTGAGCGTTCCCTTGGTTCATGCACTCAAAATCGCCATCTCATTCCTAGCTCATAGCAGCAGCCATAGGTAAATTAGCAGAGGAAGAATCCCATGTGGTTCCTTGAGATTCAAGAGAAGAGGAAATAACCAATTCTTATTTCTCACAGACTAATTCCCAGGAACTTCTGGTCAAGACTCCATCTGGCTCCAAGTTCATTTCATTACCACATGGTTCATTCACTCAACAAATTTTTACTTTATCTATGAAAAAGAGGAATTACAAGAGAAACACACACTAGAGGGAAGTCACCATAAAAATGTGCCATGAGGATTCTTTCTGCCTAAAGACATTCCAACAAATCAGAAAAGTTATTTATTGAGAATTTCTGTTGTGTTAGGCAGTCTACACAGAAACTCAAATTCAAATAATATGTGAGGACACAATGAAATCTATACTAAGGATAAGAAAACTGAGATTCAGAGAAGTTACCTATCAAGATCACAGGCTTGATACTGACTGAGCCAGGACTCAACGCCAGTGTCACAAAACTCTGAAGCCCATGATTTTTGCAACAGTGTATTTTGTCTTTGGATAGTGTCAGTAGGAGGGGAAAATATGAAGCTTGTCAATCATATGTTATATGTAAATTGTTCAATTGCATCCAAGAAGCATTTATTGAGGAGGTAGAGCCTTGATAGATGTTCAAAGGAGGTATGACAACTCAAATAAGGAAAAGTCTATACCTTCTCCAGGGGGTTATGCATAGAAATACATAATTGAGTTAACAGCAGAAAACCTTATGTCTAATTAGAGAGGCACAGAGAGCAGATGATGTCAGATGTCCACGTCTGGGAGGCTGAGGAGCATTTTAGCAAGTGGAGAAGGGTGGGAAGAACACAGTGGCCTGTATTATTAATATAAAAGTCCAGAGGCCTGACAGCATTGACTCTGAGTCTGAAGGGACTAGTCTTGAAGCAGTAAGTCTGATGGGGCAAATATAGAGAGGTCCTCTGACCACAAGAGTCACACCATTACCTGGAAAGCTGTCAGTGGGAGACTGATAGGACAGGAAGAATGAGCTGAATGAGGTCACAGTCAAAATGTCACAAGGGGCAGGGGCTTGAGTGTAGAATGAATGTGAATCACCAGGGAAAGGAGCTGGGCCACTGACTGGAGGGTGTGGTAATAATGGGGAGGTGACTGTGTAGAACTAGGCACCTCCAAGGTTCCAGACGGAACAGAGGAAAGGTGACAATAATCATCTAGACTGGCTCAAAATGTCATTTACCAGCGAATTAATGTATACTTTTAAAGGGCATTTAATTCAAATTAGAGGTAGGATTACTTGAAACAGCTTCACTAAAGTGGGGGCCTGGTCTTTGGTGACAGGGATATTGAGAAGCAGTGTTGGCTTGGTGGTAGGACTATGGGAGAAGACACCGCTGAATGGTGGAGTGTTAATGTGAAGTTTAGTCTTCCCAGTATAGCATCTTTCCCCAACAGGTCAGTGAAGACCCTCTTGCGAAATGTGGCCAGATCAGATGCACTTGTTTTTAATCCTCTACTAATAGTTCCTGAAAGTAGTTTTTGAGACCTAATGAACATATAACATTGTACTAATTTAGGTTACATTATCACTCGATTGCTCCCTATTTCCAGCATTTTACTGAAGGCAGGGAGTCCTCAGAAAGACTCTATGGAGGTTGAACTCAGTTGTCTTTTATTCAGGGTGTTTATTGTTAGTTTAAACATGGAAATAGAAGATAATAAAAGCCCATTATTGTTCTGATAGAAATGAAAAGTAAAACAGCTGCTTAGGCAAGACTATTTTGTTTTTATTATTATTCTGAATTATTTACATATAGTATGATAAAATTCATTATTTGACACTGAAAATGTATATTAATAACTGTGGCTATGATATATTTAATTGCATAATATTTAATCAGGCTGCATTTTAGATATATTAAGAATACTGGTTTTAAAATGTGCTTGTTTTCAAAAAATGTGCTATTTTTTTCCTGCATTAACTGAACCAGGATTTTTTTTTTTTTTATCATATATCATTGGCATACAATGGCCTATTTCTTAGAGTTTTGATGTCACATAGAAAACAACCATATATTTGCGTTTTTAAAAGCCCACTGGGAAAGATCACCCAGATGATGAAGGTCAGGGCTACTGAGACTTGCTGTGTTCTCTAATTCAAGAGGTGTGAGGAGGCAGATTCAAGTGGAGGGTGCTGCTACTTCCAAAACACCTGTCTGCCTCAGAGCTCTGTCACAGAGCCTTGAGAAACACACAAGGTTTGGACAAAATGGTGGCAGGAAACAGAGTTAAGAGCAGAGTGGGGTCATTTTCTGATTCCATGACTATTTAAGGTTTGTCTATTTTGTATAGTTGTGTAATAGTAGGTTAATAATTAAGAACAAGTTGATATTTTATATCTGGAAATTTTGTCTTGCTTTGTTGTATTGGGATTATTTTGAGAGGACATTAACGTGATTTGAATTCTTACCCTCATTCCACTATATAAAGAGAAACCAATCACCAAAGTGCATATGAGCATCCTCTTGTTTACCTATTTATCATACCTCATGGTTGGGGCAATTATATTTCAAGTTTTGGAGGAAGACTTTGAGGTGGATATGCGACAGTTGGCAGTTAAACTGAAAAGTGAATTTCTGACAAATCGAGCTAATAAAACTGAACAAGAGGTCGAAATATTTGTGCAGGTAAGAGATGAAGATCCAGTTCATTTCAGAGTCAGAAGACTTCTCTCTATGCAGAGAAGCCATTTAATGTGAGCATTGTATGAAATGACTTCCTTCATTGAGTACTTTGTTAGACATAGGTAGTGCTAATATTTTCTCCTAGACTGTGGCCTGATTTTAATTTTGCTCATGGCTTCTTCTTTTTTAAAATTAATTTTTATTGATTTCAGAATCAAAGGGAGAGGGAGAGAGAGACAGACACATCAGTGACGAGAGAGAATCATTGATTGGCTGCCTCCTGCATACCCCCTACTAGGGATACAGCCCACAACCCAGGTTCGAACCTGGTCATGGTTTGAACCTTGACCAAGAATCGAACCGTGACTCAATCACTGAGCCATGCCAGCCAGGTGCTCCTGGGTTTCTTTTGAAGAGAATTTTGTGTTTTAGAAACCCCAGTTCATAATTATTTTCTTTTCTTTTATGGTTTGTGCTTTTTGTGTTCTAAGAAATCTTCAGCTAAACCAAAGTCAGAAAGATTTTGAAATATATATAGTTTAGCTTTTCTATTTGTTTATATAATGTATTTAAAGTTAATTTTGGTCAATTATTTGAAGTAAGCATCAAGGTTTATTATTCTTAATACATATATTCTGTTGTTGCAGAATCATTTGCTGAAAAAACTACTTTCCCCTCCTCCCCCCCACCCCCCGCCCCATGAAATTACCATGGCAAGTTTGTCCAAAGTCAATTGATCAGTTTGTAGTTTGGGGTAAGGTGGAATGAGTACACTCCACTCTTTCTCTCCCAGTGAATGTACCTGTAACACCTGGGAAGAACATATAAATTGGGTATTGAAGCATCTGAATAGTAAATAGTAGCAGCAATAGAATTTGAAGTACTGAGTTAAGCACCCCACCCCAGCCCTGTACCCCCAGCCTGATCTTAATGCAGCTGCAAACTCAGAAGTGAACTGAGAGTTCTAGGAGACATCCTCTAATTCTGACTCAAGGATCAGGAAAGGGAACTCCTAATGCTCAGAGAGAGTTAACATCCTCCCTTTTCTTTCTTTTCTTCATTGACTTGGACCCCAGTTCCCCAGTAATGCTGTGGTGGCCACAGTCATGACAGCAGCAACAGTGGAAGCAGTGGGAACTCACAAAACTCTGCTCCCCGAAACGTCCTTTCAAGACTAGGGCCAAACCCTTTTCCTTTTTTCCCTTCTTTTTATGTCCTCCTACCACTTGGCCCCAGACATGGCACAATCAAGGAAAACGTTGGTTTCTGGCTGGCAGACCTTAAAGGGGAGCAATCCGGAACAAGGCAGTAGCATGGAGATCGCAGAGAGGGAGCTGTTGTGGAAGTGACCCTATAAAATTGTTTACATCTGACCTGCACGTACATGGGTTTAGTTTCACACCAAAGACTGAGAATTGAACTAGTGGATAGGCCTGAATCTAGGTCCCAGACTGACCTCCGAGTGATGGGCAGATGATATTGCAGAGGCTGTGAGAGCTGAACTTACAGTGGAAGCACATCCCATGGAATGTGAGTTGGGACTTGCGGTCTGAATCTAAACTAAATGACCTGCTAAAGTGAAAATGCCAACCATCTCCATAGGATTTCAGGGAGACTCAGAGTCTCATAACATAGTATTCAAAATACAATCTAAAATACTCAACATATGAAGAACCACAAAAATCTGGTGATGAAGCCTCTCAGGTTTTGTTTGTCAAAAAAAGCGTTTGTTTTGCCTTTTTTTTTTTTTTTTTTTTTTTTTTTTTTTTTTTTTTTAAAGAAGGACATTTACATTGGTTATATCATTCTAGTCAGCACTTCTCAGCATGACAGCTTCCTTCTTCAAAGCCAGCAGGGCAGAGAGAGTCTCTAGCAAGATCAGCACTACAGTCTCATATAATCTAATCACTTACATGGTCTTTCTTCTTTCCTTCTCGGTGCTGTTCATGTCTGGTCTTACATATTATTGATTTCAGAGAAGAAGGGAGACGGGGAGAGAGAGATAGAAACATCAATGATGAAAGAGAATCATTGATCAACTAGACAACTGGGGATTGAGACTGCAATTCGGGTATGTGCCCTTGACCAGAATCAAACCCGGAACCCTTCAGTCTGCAGGCCTACATCTATCCACTGAGCCAAACTGGCTAGGGCTCAGGTCTGACCTTGATTAGTGTTAAATTCATTCGAGCATTCTATAAAGAATCAGGAAGCGTACAAAAATATCTTTCTGTTATCCTGTTCATTGTACCACTTTTTCATCCCATCTTCCTTTTCTTCTCTGTATTTGAAGTTTCTTGGGGTATTTAGAGAATAAAGATATCAACATCTCTGACTCTCATTACTGTTTATATTGCAAAGTTATTTGGCTGAGTTTCTTTCATGAATGGATTTCTATGTGTTTTAGGCTTTCCAAAAATGCTAGCCCTCTCATGAATTCCTTTCTTGTTTTCCAATGCTGTGATACAATTACTATGTCCTTCTTTCTTTTGTTCCTCATGATTGGTTTGCTTACACTGGAAGTGTCTCTGCAGCTATCTTTGACCCAGATTTGCTAATTATTTAAAAATAATTGAACTTTATTAACATTTTAAATAATTGTGCTAAGTCTATATACATACTCTCACAAATTTCCTAAAAAAAAAAAAAATGCTATAGCCATATATTAAACCCATATAAAACATCTAAAACAGTTGACAACACTAAAATAAGGCCTGCCATTATAAGTTATCATCATACACATTTCTTTTTCCCTTGATCCTAGGGAAAATTTTTTATTTGACCCAATTAAATAGGGATTTTGGTTTGAATCCAACTAAATGGAACTAATTTTCTTTAGTTCTACTTAAAGAAATATAAATTACACAATCCCAATTTTTATTCTTTCTCTTATTTTACTTTGTAGATGATGGCTTCTTTTGTATTATTAGGAATACCTCCCACAGGAAATAAAACTGATGCTGTGTCTTGGACTTTTTTCAACTCATTTATAACTTCCATAATTATCATATCTACAATAGGTAGGTATTGTACTTTTCTTTTTCCACTTAGGATGTTAAATATTTTATAATTGTTTTTGCATGAAGTATTACACCTACATATTTCCCGTACCTTTATACAGTACCTTAGGTTTAATAAAATAAAGTAGTTAGTTTAAGGGGCACTATGTCTACTAAGATAAAAGAGGAAAGCTAGCAATATTTTGGCTGTCTGTGAAAAAAAGTCAATTTTTCTTTTTCCATGCATTTGGGTCCCTTAAAATCTTGAGACTATGGTCTCTGAACCAGGAATTATCTGGAATAAGAAAGGTTTCCCTCCACACACTTCAACAACAACAACAACAACAAAATGTTTCAAATCCAGAAAAAAAATATTCCCAAATAAGTCAAATGGGACTTAATTCTGTTCTCCCACTCCCCAAAAAGCTGCATCACCAAGTCTTTGGCCAAAAAAATAATAATAATAATAATAACTATTACTATTTTTTATTATTATTATTATTATTATTATTATTATTACTAGATGTTCCTAAAAGGGGTAAGGTTATAGATACAAAACAGAGTGTATATGTGATTGCATAGGATTATATAGAAAAGAAACCAGAATGTGGAATGATGGAGAAGGAAGGAAAGAGGGAGAAAATAACAGGATGAGAGAGAGGTAAGAACTTTCATTATACAATACCAGGACTCAGGAATTTATAAAGAGAATTTAAACAGGGGTTTAAGAATATTGTTTAAAAGTACAAAGGCAAATACAAAAGAATGAAAAGTAGCAATATAAATATCAAACCTGGAGAGGAGCATAAAGAAGGTGGTGTATAGGAGTTGAATCCCTATATTTTACATAAAAATATCAATAAAATATTATCTAAAATTTAAAATTCATAAATCAGCACATGGATATATAACCAAATATATAAGTCTAACTCAACAGGATAGTTTTGAAGCAAAAATTTCACAACAAAATTGGTCTCATGCTGCAGAGAGGGTCTGGCATTTTATATTTCTACTAGTGACCCAGTGCATGAAATTTGTGCACATCAAAAGGGGATTAATTAGAGGAAATAATTTACTATTGCTATTTGCCCTTTCTCTATAATAGAAGTATCAGAGATGAAAGAAAATTAGTAAAATGTATATGAAAACCTTCCTTCTATCAGAGTCTGGGGCTCACCACAGGACCCAGAGTCAAGTCCCTGCCACCCACATGCACCTCAAAATTACATGAGACCCAGACCCGGCCAGCCCCCACTCTTCCCCCTCACCCCCCCACATTGGGCTTGATCCACACCAGGCCAGTCCTACCCTTGTCAAGCCCTGCCAGGCAGGAGGCACAGCCTCACCAGGCCTGGCACCAGGACAGGGGACATGGCCTAAGGTCCCCCAGCCCAGATAGGGGTGGTGGGCATGCCTTGAGGTTCTCCGCCAAGCTCTGCCAGGTGAGGACACAACCTGAGATCCCCTATCAAGCCCTGCTGGGTGGGGGGCATGGCCTGAGGTTCCTTGTCAAGCCCCGCCAGGCAGGGGGACGCAGCCCTGGGTCTCCTGGCCCAGCACAGGAAGAGGGGGCACAGCCTCAGGTCCCCCGTCAAGCCCCACTGAGCAAGGGCATGGCCTGAGATCCCCTGACCCAGCACTGGGAGTGCACCTTGAGGTCCCCTATCAAGCCCTACTGGGTGCGGGGCATGGCCTGAGGTCCCCCAGCCTGGCGCTGGGGCAGGGGGAGCAGCCTGAGGTCCCCTAGCCCAGCACTAGAACCGAAGTGCACCTTGAGGTCTCCCATCAAGCCCCACGGGGACTGAGAAGGGCATAGCCTTAGGTCCCTGCTGATTGCTCGTTAAGGCTCCTTTTGGGAATTTGGCCTCAGTTATGGGTGCAGCCATTTTTGTGATGGAGTGATGGTCAATTAGCATATTCCCTCTTTATTAGATAGGTTGTCAGATAGCTGTTGGTATAGGTGTGGGGAAACCTTGCAGATGAGTTAGTTACACTGGGCTAAAGGCAATTCTCAAAAGGAGGCAAACAGAATTGAAACAGACTTGTAGACACGGAGAATGAAATTGAGGGTTGCCAGAGGGAAGTGGGTTAGTAGATCAGGTGAAGAAAGTAAAGGGATTAGAAAGTACAAATTGGCTTAGTCCAGTTTGGCTCAGTGGATAGAGCATCGGGCACGTCCCCAGTGGGGGGTGTGCAGGAGGCAGCTGATCGATGACTCTCTCTCATTGATGTTTCTAACTCTCTATCTCTCTCCCTTCCTCTCTGTAAAAAAATCAATAAAATATATATTTTTTTAAAAGTACAAATTGGTAGTTACAAAATAGTCTCAGGGACGTAGAAAATAGCATAGATAATTTAGTCAATAATGTATATTTATAAAAGCCTAATATGCAAATTGTCCACTTGGATGAGAATTTGACTGTTTGCTATGACATGCACTGACCACAAAGGGGAGGCATGGAATGAAGGGAGGCCCAGGCTGGCATCTGGCAGCTGGGGAAGGCAGGCCCTGGCCAGCAACCAGCAGCTGCTAGGAACCCTACCATGCATGAATTTCATCCACTGGGCCTCTAGTATTGTGATAACTATGTATGGTGTCAGTGGGTACTGGAAATGTTTGGGGATACACTTTGTAAACTATATGATTATCTAACTGCTAAGTAATATTGAGTGTGAACTGTAATTAAAAAATAAAAAATAAAATTAAGTGTGGAGTAAGAGATCAACCAAAGGACATGCATGCATGTATATGAGCATAATCAATGGACATAGGCAGTGGGGGGTGAGGGCATGTACTGGGGGGTGGGAGTGGCAGGGGAGAAATCAATGGGGGAAAGGAGACTTATGTAATACTTGAAACAATAAAGATTTTTTTTAAAAAAGATAGCCCTGGCCTTAGCTGGTTTGGCTCACAGGATAGAGTGTTTGTGGACTAAAGGGTCCAGGTTCAATTCCTGTCAAGGGCACAGGCCTGGGTTGTGGGCTTGATCCCCAGTAAAGGGCATATAGGAGGCAGCCCATTAATGATTCTTCTTTCTTCATCAATGATGTTTCTATCTCTCCCTCTTCTTTCCCTCTCAGAAATCAACTCTCTCTCTCTCTCTCTCTCTCTCTCTCTCTCATATATTATTTTATTTTATTTTATTTATTTATTTATTTATTTATTTATTTATTTATTTTATTTTTTTTTAATATCCCTGGCCAGTGTCGCTCAGTTAGTTGGACACTAAAAGGATGTTGGTTCAAATCCCAATTAGGGCACATGTCTGGGTTGTGGATACAATCCCCAGTAGGGGTGTGCAGGAGGCAGCTGATCAATATTTTGCTCTCATATTGATGTTTCTCCCTCTCCCTTTCTCTTTCTCTATAAATCAATTAAATTAAAAAAATATATAATTTTAGAGAAGGAGGCACCTGCCTTAGCAGGCAATATGCTAAAGGCAGATGGAGGTAAGTATACCAGAAAAGTCAAGAGAATCTGAGTGAGGCTCAAGAACATAAAATTGAGCATACATTCTAAACTTAGTTGAGTCTTGTGTTGATACTATTAACTTTCTTATTTAATTAGCAGTAAAATGTGCTAAATGTAGAAAACTTGGAAAACATAGAAATCTCACTGCTCCACACACAATAGAAATTTCTTTGTCATAGAAAATTCTTCATATAATTATAGTATATAGTTTTAGACTACTGTCTCTGAGCAATGTCATTAACATCTTTCTATGTCATATAGACTTTATTATAAATATTGCTCTCTTTTCTGCATCCAGCACTGCTAGAGAGTAGTCTGGTTCCTGAGTAGGGGCAACTGGGAATTGAGAAAATGAGAGACAGATGCAGAGATAGAAGGAAAAAGCTGGGGCCAGGTGGGATACAGTGTGTTTGTTTTATACAGCAAAATACCAGGAAGTTTTACTAAAGCATAATCTCCATTTTTGGGGCTTTTTTGTAATTGTCACTTCTGGGTGGGCTCAGATAATCGTGTTTGCTCCTGGTGCTTAGCTAGATTTAGATAATAAAACCTACCCCCTGGGACCTGAGCTGAAGGTCAGGGTGACAACACACCTGCCTCTGGCAAGTTATGTTTCCAGGGCATGGCTCTGCAGGGCATCACTGAATTCAGATGACAGTCAGCTCAGGGACCTTTCCCAGGTGCTCTCTACACTTTATTATAATTTTAATAGACATCACAATATTAAATTATATCATATTATAATGTACATAATCAGACTATTATTGAACATTTATGTTGATTCCATTTTTCAAAATAGCAATAGTGTGAAAAACTTTTCTTCATTTTAGCTTACATTTCCTGATTATTTGCTTAGGATAAGATCTAGCTAAGTCATTGTGGATTTTTGTTTTTATTAAAAATGTGCAGTATGTACTGGGGCTCTTAGAATACCAATGACTAAAAATTTGCCCTCAAAATCTAATGATAAATGTGTATATTATACCAAGTTTCCATATTGAGGGGCATTGCATTTATCTTTTTTTCTCTTATCAGGTTATGGAACAGTTTTTCCTAACACTCCTTATGGACAACTGTTCTGTATTGTCTTTGCTGCAATTGGAATTCCTCTAACTATTATAGTCTTTAATTATATTAGTACATTAGTTTTTCTGCCATTTGAAAAACTTGGAGACTACCTTGAATATAAGGGTGTAAATGAGGTAAGACCTCTCTCTCTCTCTTTTTTTTACATACACACACACACCTAGTAGAGAAGTTTTATTTCTTTAAATATATATATGGATTCACAACTTTAGATTTACTAGGCATATGACATGTATAAATACTTACTGAACTCACATTGAATGCAATTTGTAGGAGTAGAATGAGCAAGTCATTCTGTGTTATAAAACAGATGTGAGAAAATCCATTGTTGAAGAGACCATCTATTTCCTCTTTGGTAATTAACCTCTAATCACTGAACTTACAATAAGATGAGTAGTGGTAAATTGTGTATGAACTAAGTCATCTCAGAAGTCATTTAGTCAACTCCTTCCTTTTACAGAACAGGAAAACATTTCATAAAGACTAGGTGGTTTGTTCAAGATTACCTAGAGAACCAGTGGCAGTGCCGGCACTAACCCCAGAGATGTTTGGATGAAGGCTTTGTTTTTTGTTGTTGTTTTTTATTTATTTAATTTTATTTATTTATTGATCCTCACTCTAGATTTTTAAGTTTATTGATTTCAGAGAGAAAGGGAGAGGGAGTGAGAGATAGAAACATCGATGATGATGATGATGGAGAATCATTGATCGGTTGCCTCCTGCACGCCCTCTACTTGGGATCAAGCCCAAAATCCTGGCATGTGCCCATGACCACAATCGAACCCAGGACCCTCCAGTCTACAGGCGGACACTCTATCCACTGAGCCAAACCAGCTAGGGCCTCACCACTCCAGGTCTTCCTGGCGGGTCCTTCATGAGTGGCAACTGGGGGTGGGAAGAAATAGGCTCCGGAGCCCTGTGATTGGCCCATGAATTGCTCTCCTTCCATTGGCTCAAGGGGACTAGTAATGCCTAGGCCTGGAGTTCTTTCCCTCTGGCATAGTCCAGATCAATGGTGTGGAGGGTTCTCAGCCAGACGCCCCCAAATCTCCGGCATCTCCACTTGGGTGTGGACCACCATAGAGTCATCAGAGCCGGAAAAGGAAGGGGAAGGAAAGGGAAGGAGGAGAAGGAAGGAAAAAAAGAAGGAGAGGAAGAGGAAGCTGGATGAAGGCTTTGACCACATATCATGTTAAATCCTGTGTGGTCAACTCAATAATTAACACAGGTTTTACCCTTTTTAAAATAATCACAACGCAGTAATTTATTAAAATAATTGAGAATTTATTATTAAATCAAGTTTGCGATATTATTTAAGGTATTCTGTTTTCTATAAAGGAATACAGAGTCCCCTTCAGAGAGCCCAAGGAATCAGGAAAGATTTCCCTTAATCGTTGATGTGATCAAGTCCTTACTCTTGGTCAGAGCACTTCACAATGGAGGCACCACTTTCTTTGTTCTCTCTTTGTGCCCTTTTTGGAGGTCTATGGTTCCTGTAGGATTTACTTTGTTATTCGATTGGCATTGTCACAAAAGAAAACACAGTACACCTTGGTCTCTAATGTGATCACTATAACAAATTAGTATCAAAATACAAATCTTCTGTGCAACTGTATTTTAAAAACCTAGCACTGTTATTTGTGGTACTTAGAACTTTATAGTTATATTTAAATTTAAGTAAATGATATGTACATACATAAATGACAAATTTTCTAAATGTTTATTTACTTATCAGAGCTTAGTGAAGGCATGAAATATGGGATTTTATTTCTTTTGTTTGCCTTGCATCTCATATAGTGCTGGCCAGCAATAAAGGCAAAATATATTGAAGGAATGATAACTGATGAATTACATATAATAAAGGGCTAGAGACTTGAATCATATGATAAAAATAAATTGATAAAAGAAAATTTAAGATGAGTATCTTGATTTTGTTTGAAAATATATTTGTTCTGTGTGACTCTCTAAACAATAAATAATATATTTATTGACTCCAAATAGTACCCTGATCTTTCAGCTGACAGTTGTCTAACTTACCTTATTAAGCAAGCAAGCAGGAAGGCGTGATACTCTGTCCAGATTGGATGTTCTGGACTAGCCTGTGGGGGGTGTGGGCAGAGCCCAGAAAAGTGAGGAACTGTATCCTGATATCTAGGCAAGGACAATCTCAGGAGGAAGTGGGAGGTGCTAAAGTCTACATGAAAATTCATCTTAAATCAAAGTCTAGATGCAGAGAATAGTAAAGAAAGAAGAGAAGGGATGGAAAAACAAAGAATGCTGTACAGGAGGTAAGGCTATTAATAGAGCCTGAACATACTCTTAGGGGCAAGATTATTCAAAGGAAGGATTCCTCTATAGGCTCTAAGCCTTTGAGCAATGAAGGGGAAGGTAAGAACACTAAACTAATAGAGCAAACAATAGTTTTTGAATGCTGCTTGTTTATGATATAACTGCTAACATTGTGTCTCTTTTTCTAATATATTTTAGAGAAATATTACTGTTTGGAAGATAGTACTTTTCATTATAACTGGAACACTTTTATTTCTGGTATTACCACCATTTGTTTTTATGTCATTAGAGAATTGGACTTATGTCCAAGGAATTTATTATTCATTCACCACAATAAGTGCTATTGGTTTAGGAGACTATGCAACAGGTGAGTCTTAATAATCTTGAAATAAGATTTCAATCATAGCAACAGATTGAAACAAAGTTAAAAAAAATTAAAAATGTTAACAGATTTCTTTGAATGTTAAGATAAAGGTCAAGTCTTTTCAAATCTCCAGTGTATGAATAAATACACCCATCCTCCTTCCTTTCGTCACACACAATTATCACTATCAGAATATGATATAAAATAATTCCTTTTAAACTAAGTATTTCTGTATAATCACACATGATAAACAAAAGGCATATGTAATCAAAACATTAGGCTTAAGAGATTAATCCTATATCATGTACCTTACATAGCTTTTCCAAATTTTCAAATTCCTCCCTAAAATAAAGATGGGGAAGGGAAAGGAATAGAGCCATACTGACATTTGATGTGTCCATAAATAACTGTGGCTCACAATTAAAATAGCTCATCAATTATTTGGGGTATATAATTCTAAATTGGTAGTTACTTTCTTACAATATTTTAAAGGTGCCATTCCATTGTCTCTGGCTTCCATCATTTCTGATGGTAAGTCAGCTGTATCTTATTATTGGTCCTTTGAAATAAAGAGCCTTTCCCTTTCTTATCCCTCACCCCCACATACTTTTAATTTTTTCTCTTTGTCTTTAATTTTCATCAATTTAACTGTAATTTATTTTAGTGTGGTTTTCATTGTATTGATTCTATTTGGGGATGACAGAGATTACTGAGTAGAAGAATTGAAATATTTTATCAGTTTTGAAAATTTTCAGCTACCATGTATTTGAATGCTGATTATTTCTTATTCTCTCTTCTACTTCTGGGACTCCAATCACATAAATGTGAGACCCCCTTGATGCATTTCATGTGTTCTAATAAGCTTCCTGTATTTTCCATCTTCCTCTATGACTTCACTTAAGACATCTTCTATTTATCAACTTCTAGTGTACTAACTCGTGCTATATGTAATGTGCTTTTAAATTTATATAATGACCTTTTAATATTAATATAATGTTTTTATTAGTTATAAAGTATCCATTAATCCCTCTCTTTTGGCAGCTTCCCATTCTTTGGTGAAATCCTTCACCTTTTCATCCACTTTTCCATATTATCTTATATTTTTAAACAACCATAATAATACCCTGGCTGGTGGCTCAGTTGATTGGGCATCATCCTATGAAGCAAAAGGTTGCTGGTTCAATTCCCAGTCAAAAGTATATGTCCTAGGTTTGGGCTGGATATTCAGTGAAAGGCATGCAGAAAGCAGTTAATCTCACATCATTGTTTCTCTCTCCCCTCTCTCTAAAAATCAATAAATTATTCTTTTTTAAAAAAACACATAATTAGAAAACAATTTTCTACTTCAAATTCTGTATTTTCATTTCTAGCATTCCCATTTCCTTGCCCATTAATTTCCATTTTTCTGCTGAAATTTCCCCCCAAATTTTTCTATATTACCTACAGTTTCAATTCTATCCTTTATCACATTTGTCATGGTTATTTTAAATCTTTCTGATAATTCTAATATTTTGTCCATCTCTAAGACTACTAACTGTATTTTCTTTTGATAATGTGTCACATGATTTTCTTCTTTTTCTAAGTTTTCATTTTATGAAAGCCTGAGTGTAAAAGAGCCATGGAGACTGCAGGAAATAATGTGCACCTTCAGAAAAAGGCTTTGTCCTTCTTTTCAATTACTAGTATGAGATGGCGGTGTGGGGGTGAGGCAAAACTATTGAATCTTCAGATGATCTGGTTCTGGGCTTTGTTGCAGCTTTACTTAGATTCAGTTCATCACTGGGTTGGGGCATTTTGAGACCAGTCTAAAACCAGCTCTTCAGCAGGGCATGGGAGCCGAGACCCAGTGACACTAGAGGCAAGCATGGGGGATGTCTCTCTAGTTATGGTCTACTCATAGCTATTTGGGTTTCTGGGGTGTTCTGTGTGCTCTCCGGACCCCAGTGCCTCCCCTTTGTCAACTGCTGCCTTTATTCTCTGAAAGCCTGATGTGCTTCAGACATATTCCCTGAGTTCTCCTCCAGGCTTCAGTGGACAAGCTTTCTTGCCCATAGTAGGTATCAATCTATAGGAAAAAAAGCAGCCATGAATACCTTCTTTCCTAGAGAGGGATTGTCTAGTCTAAAATTTAGTTTATTTAGGGATTTTTTTCATGTCCTTTAAAATCCTTTTCAGACTTTAAAAAATAAATAAAACTATAATATTGTAGCTTATCTCACTTTTATCTTTTTGTTAGTGTGGGGTGACAATATCTTGTGTCTTTCTATGTAATAAATCATAAGTTCCTTACATTTCTTTTTAATTAGTAAAATATATACTCAGATGATGGCAATAGATTGGACTCCCATTCTTATGTATATTTTTCTTTTATTGGTGTCTATGTGTGTGTGTGTGTGTGTGTGCACACGTGTGCACGTGTGTGTTTTGGAATTCATTGTTTTGAAGAAGTTGGATCAGAGAGAGTTAACCGAATATCATTTGAAACTGAAAGTGAGTGTAGCCTTTCATTTATATTTATTCTCTGATCATTATGCTCCATAAAGCTTTGCTGGTTAACTTATAAAATTATAAAGAAATATCGAGTAATTTAATGTCTTATAATTTAAACTATTTATTGTTATTTATGCTCTAATAAGCACAGCCAAATTGTATTTTTGTGATAAATCATTATGTGTTGTTTCTCTCTGGTCACTTCTCTTTGACTTCAAAGTTCATGCACTTTCAGCCCCTCCCCCCTCCTCATACACATACTGTAAGTGGCTCATCATGAAAAATAAATGACACCACATGAAGGAACTATAAAAGTTGTAGCATTTGTGGTATTAGGATTGTTGAATTATAATTGATTTTCTTTTTCTTTTTTAAATTGTTATACCAAAATTTTTAATGACAAAAGCAATGAATTTATAGAATTTTAGACTCAGAAATATAATTAAGTGGCCCAGTGAAATGTACTGTGTGTGTGTGTGTGTGTTTCCAACAAGATATGAATTCCACTTTAAATAATTTTGTTATATGTTTATTGTTTTCTTACCTCATTTTAATAGTTTCCCAGCAGTAGCAAATAAATTGCCTCGTAGAAAAATATTATACTTATTGCAGGATTTAAAAGAATGATTTCCAAAGGGTAAAAGAAATTCAGATGGGCTCTAAAAAAAAAGAATCTTAGTATTATATTTGCAATTTAAATTCTATTCTTTCCGTGAAAGCAGTGACATTTTTAGATATAATTTATTTTCTGATTTTTTTTATTTTTTATTAAAGGAGGCATTTTTTCTAGGTAGAAATGAGTTACAAGAAAATGTTATGGGAGAAAGTCATCATCTGATTATTTGCATGTTATTTGCTTCCTGTCTTTAGTTTCAAATCCTTTGAAAGACAATCAGAGCATCACTTACTCAATCTTATTATTAATTTGGAATACCCATGGTCTGGTCTGGATTGCTCTTCTATTTAATTTGATAATGAAGTTCTTTTATGAAATGGAATTAAAGCTAACTGAGGACTCATCTGAAGAACTCGGAGAAGAAGAGGAGACAGTTCCTGAAAATCAGTTTATTAAGTAGGTTTCTTCCATGCAGACTTCAGAGGTTTCCACGGAGCCCCTTCAGGTGGGGTCAGACCAGGAAGGAGGACCAGGAAAACAACCTCCATAAACCTCTCATGTGAGTTGCCTTTCCACATCAAAATTTAACTTTGACTGTCATTTAAAAAAATAGTTTTGAAATATAATGCATATCTCCACCTTTACTTGTCTACTTTCCCCACATCAGGCTTTCTCCTTGGTGGATCCGCACTGGCATTTGTGTAAATAGAAGCTTATCCTGAAAACTGTTTCCATGTTTCTCTACCATGTATTTCAATAAAGATAGAAAAATGCACATACAAAATGATGGAGCTATTTTCATTGGGTTTTACTTCTCATACACATTATTTCTAATTATCAATCAATGTTTTTTTTAAAGTATGCTTTTTTTTTTTTTTAATCAAGTGAGGCCATTCTAATTTTCATTCAAGCCCAGGGCTCTTCATTGTGTATTTACAAAGCTGTTCATGGTGAACATGCCTGAAGATCACCCAGACTGCTCCCTGCTTTCTCCTTTGCTGCTGCAAGCAGCAGAGCTGCAAGCAGCAGAGGATCTTGTCCGGATGCTGTCTTCCTGAGAGCAATAATCTTGATACGTGAACATGAAACGCTGTAACATGAGAGCCCAGGCCAGACTTACCGTAGATCACCCCACAGTCCTGGAGGACGCGTCTAGTTCAGTTGCAGGGACAAAGCAGGAAGAACCAGGATTAGTCCTTTGGACAGGAAATGCTTCTCTAAGACTTGAAGGGATTAATTCCAGAAGGGCGGCCCAGAGAGGAGCAGAAGCCCTTTTAACCACTACTGACACCGGCCTCCAGCAGCTTGATCAGAACATTGGCAGAAGAGAAGTTACTTTGTACTTTCAAGGGGTAAATGGGACTGATAGATTATAAACTGCAGACTAAAATAGTTAAGAGAACATCCTTCAACTTAAAATCTTTTTTCAGGTAAATGTAGTATAAGTCATATAAAATGGCATAATAAAATTAAGAATAAATAAACATGTTACACTTTTTTTTTCTTCTTGTTAATCCTCACCCAAGGGTATTTGTCCATTGATTTGTTTTTAGAGAGAGTGGAAGGGAGAAAAGGCAGGAAGGAGGGAGGGGTGGGGAAGAGAGAGAGAAGGGGGGAGGGGAGAGAAAGAGAGAGAGAGAGAGAGAGAGAGAGAGAGAGAGAGAGAGAGAGAGAGAAAGAGACATCAATGTGAGAGAGACACATCGATTGGTTTTCTCCTGCATGTACCCCAAAAGGGCCAGAGATGGAATCTATTTGCAACCCAAGTATTCTCCCTTGACTAGGAATGGAACCTGCAAGGTTTTGGTAAGTGGGCAGACACTCTAACCACTGAGCAGCATCAGCCATCAGCCAGGGCATACATGTTATACTATTTATATTACAATCAGAGTGATTTTGAATGAGTGTAGCCTTTTTGTATAAAAATGAACAAATAGAAATGGTCCAATTAGTTTCCTTTTCAATATGCTTCAAATAAGCGGGTGGATCTATTTCACGTTTTTAATCAAAAATTTTATTTGGGATACGTATGGGTAGGGTAAATCAATAAGAGGTCTTATTTGGAACCTTGTTTTGGACAGTTTACTGGTTGCTTTTTATCCCATAGTTGCTATAACCTGCTGTGATGTAATGTTTCAAGAGAAAATGCAATTGTAACAAGGGTTCAGATTAAATTTTTAATTCATTAAAAAAGAGTAAGTATGTATGATCAGAGCCATAAAAGAATTCAAACCAGAGAAGAAATGGAAAGGATAAAGATCATAAGAGGTCAAGGCTATGTTAGTAAGAAAAAAAAAAAAAAAAAAAAAAAAAAAAAAAAAAAAAAAAAAAAAAAGCCCAAGTACCGTTGTTGAGATTTAACCCTTACCACCTCTACCCCAACACCACCACCATCACTACCACCACCACCACCACCACCAGCACCACCAGCACCACCACCACCACCACCACCACCAGCACCACCACCGTCAGTTCCTAGAGTGTGTCCATTACCAAAGCTTCACAAACTCCCTGTTACATGGTTTGTTCAAGGCAGGTTTCACTGCAAGGGCAGGGCCTCGTGATGAGGGTGAGGCCTCTAGGCATATTATAAACCTTCAGACAGAAAGTATACCTTCAGACACTGTTCTAGCCACCTTTTTTCTCTGGCCCCAGCAGGTATAGAAAACCAATGCCCAATTCCTTCTCAAGCAGGGTAGACATAAGGGTTGTGCTTACTATTTTAATTTTTTAAATTCTGTTACTCCATTTTATTAAACAATTTCCAATTAACTTGATTATGTGTAAACAAGGTATTTCATTTTCCCATGCCTGGTGAAACCCTAGCTGGTTAGTTCCCAAAGCCAACACTTAGACGAGCACCATTTGTTCTACCAACAGCTACTTACATGTAGACATAACATCTAAAAACAAAGAAGTGTCTCTAAAGCACTGGCCTTAATAAGAAATACTTTTAAAGTGGCTGTTAATGTTACAGTCAAGTGGCTTTCCTTTGGTGCCCCTCCTCCCCTTTTTAAAAAATATTTTTTATTGATTTTTTTTTTTTTACAAGAGGAAGGGAGAGGGATAGAGAGTTCGAAACACTGATGAGAGAGAAACATCGACCAGCTGCCTCCTGCACACCCCCCACCGGGGATGCGCCCGCAATCAAGGTACATGCCCTTGATTGGAATCGAACCTGGGACCCTCCAGTCCGCAGACTGATGCTCTATCCACTGAGCCAAACTGGTTCGGCTCCTCCCCCTTTTTTAATCTATTGTAGAAAGGAATATTACAAACTCACCCACCTTAGAATTATGGATTTGACACTATTGGTCATTCTCTCAAAACAATAAAAAATACGTACACATTTTTTAACGGGAGTCTTGGTAGGTTGTTTTTTGTTTGTTTTGCTCTACTTCGTGGAATATTTTCTTGGCTTTATCTTCTAACCTATTAATTTTTTTTTTTTTTGGTTTGGAGATAATAGTTTTTATGTCCAAGGGCTGTTTAAAAAATGTGCTGCTTATTTGTTTTTCCTGTCATCCAGTTCTTGTTTTTAAGAAGAAATGTTTTCATGAAGATTCTCCGGAGACTGATTGGGTTCTCCCTTTTTCTGTGAACCATCTATATTTCCTTCAGAGCCATTTGCTTCTGACTCTTTAGTTTGGTCTCTCATTTTAGAGACTAGTCTCAGTAATGCTATGGCCTTAACGTATTCATTAATATCTGAGAATGCACTCGGATAAAGCTGTAATGACTGGTGAGATTTGCTTTTAGATGGCCGGAAGGGGGTCATTGCCAGAATGTAGATATCCTTACTTCCGGTGCACTGAATTTCTTCAGAGACGCATCCTCAGACAAAGGGGAAATACAGAATTAAAGAGGCAGATGCAGGTTTCACAGAAGATAACATGAAAGAATTAAGAACCTCAGCATTGTTTTGAAAAATTATCTTCTACCGAATGCCATCTGCTCTAACTCAGCATCTATTTTTTAAAATATATTTTATTGATTTTTTACAGAGAGGAAGAGAGAGGGATAGAGAGTTAGAAACATCGATGAGAGAGAATCATCGATCAACTGCCTCTTCCACACCCTTTACTGGGGATGTACCCACAACCAAGGTACATACCCTTGACCGGAATCGAACCTGGGACCTTTCAGTCCACAAGCTGATGCTCTTCAGGGGTGTCGAACTCAATCAGAGAAGGGGCCAAAATCTAAAATCCAGCCTAAATCGCAGGCTGAATGGTTTACTGAACAGTCATAAACTGACAATGTTAACCAGAAATGTGAATTTAAAATGAGTGGAACAATCTTTTCCTTAACAGTGCTGTTAACCAACTCACATGCTATCAAGCAAAACAGTAATATTGGTATCAAGCAAAACAGTAATATTGGAATGTACCTAAAATGCTCATTGTTTTGTTTTCTGGCTAGATGTCTGACACCGTTTTCCCCGGATCAATGAGTCAATGTTCGGTTTTATTTCTTGGGCTGTAGCAACCCGCAAAACAGCATGGAGGTTGTCATCGGTAATGCGTGATCTGTGCTTGTTTTTGTTCAGATTCATTATTGAAAACATCTGTTCACAAAGATAGGTGCTCCCGAACATGGATAGAATACGGGCAGCATGAAGTCGGAGCTCTGGCATTGAGTCAGTGGGCAGTAGAGGGTAGAAGTCCTCAATTTCAACATCCTGAAACCTTGATTTCAGGCCACTGTCAGACTGAAGCTCGATTATCTCCATCTGAAGGTGATGGGGCACATTGTTGACATCAACTGTAAAAGGATTGGCAAAGATGTCAAAGCCTGAGTGCTGTGTTCTAAAGTCAGAGAAGCGCTGCTCAAATTCACTTAGTAAACGGCTAACTTTGGTAGCCAGCCGACTGCAAGGAAAAGTACCAGAAATAGTGGTTGAGATGCTCAAACAAATGGGAAAGTGGGCAAGATTGTCCTGTTCCAGTTGGGACTTCCATAGTTGAAGTTTACGCTGGAATGCTGTGATCTTGTCAGACATCTTCGTGATGACTTGTTTGCGTCCCTGCAGCTTCAGATTCAGTTGGGCGAGATGCTTGCATATGTCACACATCATAGCAAAATCACATAGCCAGGCGGGATCCGACAGTTCAGGCAAGGGCTTTCCTTTACTTTCCATGAAAAGAGCAATTTGTTTTCTGAGCTCAAAAAATCTTTTGAGGACTGCACTCTTGCTCAGCCATCTTACTTCTGTGTGGTATGGCACGTCTCCATGCTCTGCACCCACCTCCTGTAAAAACTGCTGGAACTGGCGATGATTCAGGCCACGTGCCCGTATAAAGTTAATAGTTTTAATGACTGTGGTCATTATGTCATTCATGTCCAGAAGTTTTCCACACATAGCCTCTTGGTGGATAATGCAATGATAAGTAATCAAGGGTGTGTGGCAGTGACTTTTTTGCATTCTTTCCTTCATTAGTCCAACCAAGCCTTTCTTTTCTCTGCACATTGAAGGTGCGCCATCGGTAGTTAGCCCCACCAACTTTTCCCAGGGTAATTTAAAATTATTTATAGATTTCTCCACAGCCTCAAATATATCTCTACCAGTCGTCGTCCCATGCATGGCAGCTACATCCAAAAGTTCCTCAGTGACAGAGAGGTCGGTCTTCGTAGCACGTATAAAGATGGACAGCTGCGCTGTATCAGTGTTGTCTGTGCTTTCATCGATAGCAAGTGAAAAAGCGAGATAACTGCATGCCTGTTCGGCCAGCTGTGATGATAGATTTTCTGAGAGTTCTTGAACTCTATCTGCAATGGTGTTTCTTGACAAACTGACATTTTGAAAACTCTGTATCTGGTCTGGGCATACTTGCTCACACACTTTTAGCATGCATTGCTTCAAAAAGGCACGCTCTGAAAAACACCTTGAAGTACGGGCAATTTCTTCAGCCACTATAAAGCTTGCTTTCACTGCAGCATCATTTTTCGCTGTAGCCTTTGTAAACATTTGCTGCTGTGATTGTAGTTTGCCTTTTAGTTCTTTAACAATTTTATGCTTTTCTTCCAAAGTATATTTGCCATACTTAACATTATGTTTGGTGTCAAAATGACGACGTATATTGTACTCTTTCATCACCGACACTGTCTCATAACACAATATACACACTGGTTTGCCCTCTCTAAGCACAAACATGTATTCATTTTCCCATTTGTCATTAAATTGTCTGCCTTCACCGTCAACTTTTCTTTTCCTGGACATTTTGGGATCAATATTGGCAGTAAAAGATGTAGTTTATTGGAAATCTGCGTTAGAAGGAAAAAGTTGAAAACTGCACAGGGATAGCTTGATTTGGCAGATGGAGTGGAGAAAAAAAAAGTCAGTCAATAAATGCCTGGCTGGGTACAGATAGCAGATTCTGTTGCGATTTTTATGCCTGCACTTTATGCCAGGAACTGGCAGCTTCTGCTGGGTATTTTTTATGCCCGCACACTCACTCTCTCCTCTGCTCTGCCACCCGCACAACCACATCGGATGCCGAACTATAGGTCATGCCTCCTGAATCTCGCGTGACTTGTTATCTATGCGCATGCGTAATAGATAGCAAGTACGGCAGCCGGCCGGCGAGGCGGCCGGGCGAGATCACAAGCCTCCTATGTCACCGCGCGTCATTGTGATGGAACAGCGGAGTGCAGTGATGACAGCGCGGTGCGGGCCACATTGCAAGGCCTGGCGGGCCGGATTTGGCCCGCAGGCCTTGTGTTTGACATGTGTGCTCTATCTTCTGAGCCAAAGCGGTTTCGGCTCAGCATCTATTTTTGAGAAAACATTTTACAAGCTAAGCTAGAAAGATATGGAAAAATCCCTTTTCTTGACAGAGGGCATCTTTCCAAAATAACCAGAGATATGCCAGAAAAAAAATTAAGTTATCTTTAATGACAACATAAACATTATTCTGAAGGCATTTGATGCAATAAAGATAAAGGAGTAATAAATTCTAGAAAGGATGTCAAACATTATTATTTCCCTAGAATATCTAAGAAAACAACTGAGAAACTATGTCAACCAAGAACAACTATTAATAGAATATTAGATCAAATGGGAGTCAACCATAAGAGTGTCATAATGGTATAAAAATAAATATTCAAAACCTAATACATTCCTTACATACTAAAAATTATTTTAAGATATGATGGCAGACATAAATGTTCATCTCCTGTCTTTTTCAATGCTCTATTCAGGTAAAACATACTGATAAAGGAAATGAGGGAGATCTTGAGCAGACAAGAGATTTCAACAGATTTCTGGAAGAAAATTTCTAATAAAGGAGAAAATCTAGGTGACCTTGGGCTTGGTGATGAATTTTTACATACACAATACCAAAAGCACAATCCATGAAAGAAAATATTTGATAACTTGGATTCTCATTAAAATATAAAACTTCTGCTCTGGCAAAGAAAATGTTAAGAGAATGAAAAGACAAGCCACAGACTGGGAAAAATATTTGCAAAGCACACATTCAATAAAGGATTATATGCAAAATACATCCCAAAAAATCCTCTTAAAATCAACATTAAAAAAAAAAAAGGCAAAAGAACTGAACACACATATATCAAAGAAGATATACAGATGGCTAATAAGTATGGGAAAAGATGTTCAAAATTAAATGTCATCAGAGAATTACAAGTTAAAACAATCTTTAATAATAAAAGCATAATATGATAATTAGACTGGAAGTCCTTCCGAATGTCCGTCCGTCCTGTACAAGAGGCGGTGGGGACCGAAGCACAAACCCACAGCTGCCAGGCCCCGCGGGGGCCGAGGCAGCCGCAGCCACCCTAGGGGATAAGTCCCTTGCATGAATTTTGTACATTGGGCCTCTAGTAATTGAATAAAACAACACACTTATTAAGGGTGGCTTAAATTCAAAACACTGACAACATCAAATGCTGGAGAGGATGTGGAGCAACAAACAGAACCTCATTCCTCGATGGTGGGAATGCAAATTGATGCAGTCACTTTGGAAGACAGTTGGGCAGTTTCTTACAAAGGTAAACACAGTCTTATTATATTGTCCAGCATTGGCATTTACCCAAATGAGTTAAAAATGTATGTTTCAACCTAAAAGCTGCACACAAATGTTTATATCAGCTTTTTCACAACTGCCAAAATAGACGAATGGATAAAGAAACTATATATCCACACATGGAATGTTACTCAGCAATACAATTAAATGAGCTATCAAGCCATGTTAAAAAAAAAAATAGAGGGGAAACTTAAATGCATATTAGTAAGTGAAAGAAGTGATTGCACATACTGTATGATTGCAAATATATGACATTTTGGAAAAGGCAGAACTATAGAAACAGAAAAGATCAGTGATTGCGAAGGGTTCAGGGGAGGAGAAGAGGGGTGAGTGAGTAGAGTCCAGGGCGTTTTTAGAGCGGTGAAACTTTTGTATGATACAGTGATGGTGGATACATTATGTTATGCATTGTCAAAACTCATAGAACTGTACAACCCAAAGTGTTAATCTTAATGTAAACTATGGACTCTGGTTAATAATAATATATCAAGTCCTAACCAGTTTGGCTCAGTGGATAGAGCATCGGCCTGTGGTCTGAAGGATCCCAGGTTCCATTCCAGTCAAGGGTATGCATCTTGGTTGCGGGCACATCCCCAGTAGGGGGTGTGCAAGAGTTGGCTGATCGATGTTTCTGTCTCATCGATGTTTCTAACTCTCGATGCCTCTCCCTTGCTCTCTGTAAAAAAAAAATCAATGAAATATATTTTTAAATAATAATAATAATAATAATGTGTCAATACCAATTAATCAGTTGTAACAAATGTACCATTATAATGCAAGATATTAATA